GATCAAAAGAATCCATGATATTTTGTATAGAAACAGACAGGCTGATCAAAAGAATCAAATCAAAGTCCCTGAAATAAACCCACACATCTATTGACCTTTAATTTTTGACAAAGAAGCCAAAACCATACAATGGAATAAAGGAAAGCATATTCAACAAGTATTACTGGTCTAACTGAATGTCTGCATGTAGAAGAATGCAACTCGATCCATTTTTATTGCCCTGCACAAGGCTCAAGTCCGGGTGCATCAAAGACCTCAACATAAAATCGGATACACTAAATCTAATAGAGGACAGTGGAGACTAGCTTTGGATACACTGGTAGAGGAGAGGACTTCCTGAACAGAACACCAACGGCTCAGGCACCACAATCAACATTTCATAAATGGGACCTCATGTACCTGAAAAGCTTCACAATAGAACAAAATCTTCACCAACTCTACATCTGAGAGTGGTAAAATATCCAAAATATATATGGAACTCAGAGAATTAGACACCAAACAAATGACCCAATTAAAAAATAGACTACAGAGCTGAACAGAATTCTTAACAGAGGTATCTTGGATGGCCAAGAAACACTTAGAGAAATGATCAATTCCCTTCATCATCAGGGAAATGTAAATCAAAACAACTCTGAGATTCTACCGTATATGTATCAGAATGGCTAAGACCCCAAACTCAAGTGACAGAACATGCTGACAATGATGTGGAGCAAGGGGAACACTTCTCCATCGCTAGTGGGAGTGCAAACTCACATAACTGCTTTGAAAATCAATTTGGCATTTTTTTCAGAGAGTTGGGAATAGTTCTACCTAAATATCCAACTGTACCACTCCTGGGCATATACCCAAAAGATGCTCCACCATCCCACAAGGACACTTGCTGAACTGTATCTGCAGCAGCTTTATTTGTTACAGTTAGAAACTGGAAACAACCCAGATGCCCTTCAACCAACGAATGGAAAAAGAAAATGTGGTTCAGTAACATAAGGGAATACTACTCAATTATTACAAAGAAGAACATCTTAAAATTTGCAGGCAAATGGATGGAACTAAAAATATCATGCTCAGTCAGGTAATCCAGACTCAAAAGCACATGCATGACATATACTCACTTCTAAGTGGACACTAGCCATAAAGTACAGCATATCCACACTATAATTCACAGACCCAAAGAAACCAAGGACCAAGTTGGGCCCAAGAGAGGATACTTCAGTCTCACTCTGAAGGGGAAATAAAAGCTGGGCAGTGGTGGCACACGCCTTTAATCCCAGCACTTGGAAGGCAGATTTCTGAGTTCGAGGCCAGCCTGGTCTACAGAGTGAGTTCCAGGACAGACAGAGCTGCACAAGGAAACCCTGTCTGGAAAAACCAAAAACCAAAATCCAAAAAAATAAATAAAAAATAAAAAAAGGAGAAGAAGAAGGGGAAATAAAATTTTGATTGGAAGTGGATGGATGGAGGGAAGAGAGTGAGAAAGAGGGCAGGGAGAGTGAACGGAAAGCGAAGGTAGATGGGATGGCATGTTGTGGTGTGTGCATCTCTAGGAGGTGCCAGAGACCTGGGATGGGGGAGACTCCAGGAAGTCTATGAGGGTGACTTTAGCTGAGACTCCTAGCATTGGGGTATACAGAGACTGAAGTGGCCATCTCGGAGCTAGGCAGGACTCCTAGTGGAGGAATAACAACACCGACTTACCCACAATTCCTTTGACCTAAAATTAGTCCTGTCAACAAAAAGTTCAGGTATAAAGATGTCACAGAGACAGAGGAAATGGCCAACCAGTGACTGGCCCAACTTGAGAACCATTCCATAGGCAAGAGCTAATCCCTGATACTCTTGATGATACACTGCTATACTTGCAGACAGGAGCCTAACACAACTGTCCTCTGAGAAGCTCCAGCCAGCAGTTGACTGAAACATGCAGAGACTCACAGCCAAACATTAGACCCAGCTCAGGGTCTTGTGGAATTGTTTGGGGAAGGATTGACAGACGTGGAGAAGATATGGACTCTACGGGAAGACCAACACACTAACTTGGATCCTTGTGGGTTCCCAGAGCCTGAACCACCAACCAAAGAGCATCCAAATGCTGGATCTAGCTCTCCTGCACAGATGTGCAGCTTGTTTTTCATACAGATCACCAAGTGGACCGGTGGCTTACCCTGACTCTGCTGTCTGCCTGTGGATCCTGCTCTCCTAACTGGGCTGTCCTGTCTGGCCTCAGTGGAAGACTAGATACCTAGTCCTGCAGTGACTTGAGGTACCAGAATGGGTTGGTTCCTGTCGAGGGACCTCTCCCCCTTCCAAGAGGAAAAGGGGAGTGGGGAGTTGGGTAAGGGGCCATGTCAGTCAGGGAGGGGGGACTAGGAGGAGCTGAGATTGAGATGTAAAGTGAATAAATAAATTAGTGGAAAAAATAAAGGACAGAAAATGCCCTATGGGTGGATCTTATGGAATCATTTTCTCAATTGAGATTGCCACCTTTCAGATAAATCTAGATCATGTTACAAGTTGACAAAATAAACCAACTCACTTAGGCGTTTCTACAATGAAGTTTGAAATGACAGAACAACCTGGCAAGTACAGCATCAGGGGGATCAGGAGTCTAAAGAGGCTGATAACAGAGATTCAAGAGCAAAGCAAGGTCCTGGGTCTTACCAGAGGGCTTCACAGGTGACACGGCAACTGTCCCTGGATTCAGGGACCTGGTAGAAGGTTTGTATGAAGGTTGTTCTGGCCATTGGCTACCATTTCTCTGCTTCCAGCTACTGAAGGCCCCCCACCCACCCCCCACCCCCCACATTAATACCAAGGACATGGGGCCTGTGAACAGAGGAGAAATAAAGGGTTATTTCAAAGGACTTGAAACTCCGTAGTAGCTGAACAGCCCTTCCTAGGCTTGTCGTAGTTGAGAATATCCACTTCCCCTGAGGACTATGCTATATTCAACGTCTCCCTCCTGTCTCTTCCAACACTCAATGCCTCCAGTAACTCACACCTAGAGAAAGCCCTGGCAAGGTCGAGTTGTGGGTTCTAACAGGATGGCACCACAGATCTTTGGGACCT